TGATTCAAAGGCTTTGGCTTTGGATCACTGCGCTGCCACCCAAAAATGTTGTTACAACAATCTCTGCAAAGCCCAATTCACCTACCCTTTCTCGGGCAGTTCCAGGCAGCAGAGATCACAGTAACAGTGTTTTGGGGTGGCAGCGAAGCGATCTCAGGATACTCCATTCCAGGTTTTTAACTTCCCAATCTGTTCCTCTTCTCTTCCTCCACCCCCACCTCCAATCTGCCCGGATCTGTCATGCAGCAAAGAGATATGATCGCTGGGAGCCTGGCACCTGCTTTTGCACTGAGACTAAGGAAGCGGGGTTGTGAAGAGGGCTGTGAACAAGCCCGGTTGTTTAAGGAGGCAGCCTTGCCTGGTCGCCTTCTTTGTGTTTTCCTTTTGCGGCTCAGGGACCACCACGAGGAACCATTAATCCCCACCCCCTCCTCGCCCAATGGGCCGTTCCCAGTCGAGCGCAGCAGCGGTGGTGGTTCAGCAGCCCCCACGTGTCTTTCTCTCCTCACTGGAGAGAAGAAGAGAGCCGACTGCCGCTCCTTGGGCCAGCAGCTCTGTGTGGTCGCTGATCAGAGGGAAGGGGGGTAAAATAAAGCGCAGAGAGCTATGTTTAGTCTGCCCTGCTCTGGGGAGGGGTAGAGAAAAGCCAATTTGAGATCGATAAAAGCCTTACCCTTTAGGATGATCAAGCCCCCACACATTGTGATTTTGCCCTCCCCGGCCCCCAGAAGCACTTTGCAGGCCTCCCAAACTCTCTGCATGCCTCAGTTTTCAGAGGGTTTAGGGGGCCGGGGAGGACAAAAACTTTTTAAAAAAAATTTACCTCTTCAAAATCTTGGTGTGTCTCCTGCAAACTCCACTCCCCTTTCACTCCTTTTTTATTTCCTCTGGGAGGGCCATTCATTGTCCACCTGTGGCCTTACTCCCAAGTCGACCCCTGTTCTTTAGCTGTGCCCTTCGTCTGGCAACTCTGCGCATGCGCACACTGGGAACAGGCTCCAGCTGTTTGTCTGCCTCACTGATGTCTGACTCCGAAGGCAGCTGGTATCTGGCATATGGCTCTGGCCCACTCTCTGCCTCCGACACAGAGCTCTCATCAGAGCCTTTCGCAGACCCCAGGACTGGCCCATGTTCCTCCCCAACCTCCTCACTGCCTGAATCTGCTGCCCGCTCCACTAGCCGCTGGCAGGCTACAACAGTAGTCTTAACCTTGGTTTGTTTGGAGCTTTTTGTTCCATGGAAAGGTGCTTTGACATTTTCTTCTTAAGTTTATCTTACAACTTGTCAACTCTCTAGCTTTCTATGATGGGAGAGAGAGAGTATAATCTTATTTATTTGCTTACTTATTGTATCCAGACTTAAAAGTTGCTTCAGTTGTCAATTGCTCTAAGCAGCTTACATTCCAGTTACAGTAGAAAGATCAGAACTTTACATGCACACACACACAAAAACCCAGTGGTAATCCTGTCACACCAAGAAGCAACCATCCAAAATCTGTTTGTTCAGAGCTTCCCCATCAGATCCTGCTCCAAAGGCTTGTGGGAATAAGCAGGTCTTAATCGTTTTTTTAAGTGGTAAAAATGTGGTGCGTACCATCCTGAAGAAATTAGATGTCAAGTGGACACAAGCAGTGGTGAGATTCAAATAATTTAATAACCGGTTCTCTGCCCTAATGACCAGCTGGGAAGGCATGGCTTGGTGGTCATGTGACTGGGTGGGTGTGGCCAACTCAACGTCACTCAGATCAATAGGCACTTCACCTTAGCTGTTGCAATGTAATAAGCGTTAACCAGGGAGGCAGTTTCTGTAAACAGGACAATAAAGATGAGGCTAGAAACAACACCAGAATGTTTCCTTCCTGCCTTCCTTATAGGATTAGCCCTGTAAAGTGGAAAGAAACAAACTGCCAACCTAGCAGTTAGAAAGCACATAAAAATGCAAGTAGAAAAATAGGGGCCACTTTTGGTGGGAAGGTAACAGTGTTCCGTGCACCTTCGGCGTTTAGTCATTGTTACACTGGTTTTTCCTTGTGCATTGGAAATGTTTTGAATATACATGATAATTGCTTTTATATGTGTTATGCATTTTATCTTGAATTATACCACTTGCATAAAATGACCATATATATATAAATAATTTTGAATACAAGTAAGACAAACATAATATACAAAACATAAACATAATATACAAAAAAAGGAAAAAAATACAAATATTATAGTGCACCTCCCTGGAGACCATGTTTATTATTTCTTTTTATTATTTTTATTATATTTTATTATATTTTATTATTTATTATATTTTATTATTTATTATATTTTATTATTTATTATATTTTATTATTTATTATATTTTATCATTTTGTTATATTTTTATTATTTTATTATATTTTATTATATTTTATTTTTATATTTTTATTATATTTCTTCTTCT